AAAAAACTCCTAACTTTTCCAACTGGGTTTCCGTGCGTTCTGCTGAAGTTGGTCTGCGCCCACTCCTGCATTGGGCTAGCCAAGGATTCTATTGATAGAGGACCTGAAGTATTTTGGAAATGATTCCTTCCGAGATTGCCTGGACAATGCCTGGGTCCACTTCAGGGAGTTCTTGAAAGCTCACAAGATTCGATGTTCTCAACCAAAATTCAAAGAAAAAATGGTACCTTATCTGGGATAGCATTGGTCAACATGTGCTGCCTTTGGAACAAACGTGTGTTCCCATACAGTGGGCTTGTCCTCCGCCTGAGGTGAGGAAAAAGGACAATGAAATATGTTGGACTCACAAAGCCTACAATGGCCGTGTGATATTGGAATGGACAAGCTGGTGCTTGGAGGATTGCTGGAAGAACCGCCCAGAGCTTCGAAGTCATCGCTTGATGCTGACATTCCACGCCCAGCCCCTTAGATAAAAATATGTTTTCCCTTGATCAAACCTGTGCTGTACCCGGCTCTAGCCCTCGTGAAACATTCGCGCGCGGTCCTTGCAAGGAGGAGTATGGCTCGCTTCATGGGCTTTATGGAAAGGGCCAAACGGTTTATGTGCCTAGGTTGTGTCTATGAGCATGAGTACAGCTGCACTCTCGCGAGTATTTTTCTGTTTCTGAGGACGCCTTCTAGGGCACAGGAAATGTTTCAAGAAGGTCGCCAATATGTGAATGCCTACATGGGCCTCAATGATCTTGCGGTGAGGCAGGTTTCTCTTTTGGCAGTTCCCTTCACGAACACATGACTTGTTGGAAAATGTTTGAAAGACTTTTTTGATTGATCACTCCAGGGATGGAAGAAGAGAATGGCTGATTACTCCAAAAGTGCATGTCCCTTTTCTTAACCTGGATCCTGATCATGAGTGCAAACCTTGTGTACATGGGTGCACATGCTGGAGCTTCCTAGGCTTTTGGACACTTGATCCATCATGTGCGCAAGCACTTGGAGAATCCTAGATATTGGCATACATATGCCGATGAGGATTCAATGAAATGGAGCAAGAGTCTTGTGACTGCAAGCGAGCATGCATGCATACAGGCTTGTAGCTCCAAACTTTATTTCGTTTACCTTTGAGTTGATCATCCCAGGCATAGCGTCGTTTTCAAAGCCAAGAACAAGACACACTTGGCTCCTACGCTGTCTCAAGCTGCGCATTCGATCCATGCAAACCAGAATCTCAAGGCCCCTTGTCTGCCAATACCTTTTGGTGTGTGTGCATGCTTGTCCTGTGTCTTTTGTGGTGCAACATCTTACGTGATGAGGCTCAATGCAAAAGCACAAGCAAGTGACCACGCAGACCGCACTGGATGAGAAAGAGCGTGATTGTGCGTGAGAGGGTTGCCATGTCAAAACACACCAAAGAATACATGTTGTTGCAACCGGCATTTTTTTAATGCTGGTATGAACGATAGGGTAAGGAATTTTGTATCACCTCCCTTTTGAAACTAGCGATCGCTTTTTTTGTGCGTTGAGCCACATTTGTTTTCAAAATTGCATGTTCAATCGCATTTTTCAACTATACATATCATATATATATATATCCTCACAGGTGGCTGTCGAATGCGCGGAGGAACCCTGTGAAGCCGCAAGGAGGAGGAACCCCATTCCCCAAAAGAATCCACCCATCCTTCTCCACTCTTCTCCACCTACTTGGACCGTCGGGACACGGGGTGGAGACAGCAGGGGAATAAAAGAACTTTCAACAGTTTCGAAACGGTCCGTTTTCTGACTGGTGCTTAGTAGGGAATGAGGGAATGAGCCCCAATAGAGATTCCTTTGGATCCATTCCCTCATTCCCTACTAAGCACCAGTCTTCTTTTTTGCTTAGCACACCAAAAGTAAAATTTTGCACATTATGCCTTTGGCCAACCTGGCTGAATTCCAGGGAAACTCCATTTATTTCCACATGGTGGTGTTGCCAGCTACAAAGAAGGTGTCAGCATGAAGAATTTGGCATGCACACCCTTCGAGTTGGGATGGGGTCCCTTGTCCAATTGTTTCATGAGCAGTTTCAGGCGATTGCCATTTTGAAACAAACATGACCCCATGGTTTCACTGTGTGTTCACATGCAACAACCCCATTCAATCGTTTATCCCATGGTCCAATTATTTTTTAATTTCATTCTTTTGACTGGCCATTTGTCCATTTTTACGACGAACGCCGCCAGCTCAAGATTGCCATCAAACATGAGCTGAGTTGCCGTGCCGTTAGATGACGTCACATCAATCGAAACATCCAAATCAAATTCGAAACAACACTTCTTTTTCCTTAGAGACCCTTGGAAAAATCCTATCACAGCAGGATGACTTCAGAATCTGTCGTGGTTCACGGTGCAATGCATGTGCGTTGAAGGAAATGTCGAAGGCTGGGAACATGCACCGCATGTTGAAGGTTGGGAGATTCGAATCTTGTGCGACAGAATGTTATGCCAACGATTTTTCCTGGTGTCATTTCTGTCATGAACACATTGCGTTGTTTTTACATTGACCTCGAATGATAAGACAACTTTTTTCAATGATTCCTTTTGTTTCTTAATTCTTTGATGTTTGCGGGGTTGGGGTGGTCTAGCAATTGAGCAGAAGGCGTTGGAAACTTGGATGGCCATGTCCAATTAGGAGGTTGCTTCTGTTGTGTTTGGAAAGGTTCTTCATGCTGTAAAAACATGTCAACCTCGGGATTTGCGTGATCAACCACTCTGCCCTTTTCTGACAGGCTGATGGCGTGCATCAGACCCAGACCAAGACACCAATGGTCCATGCCGAACGGAATCCCACTCCCGCGTAGACACAGTGGTGTGGTCAAAACAGACAGCTCCAATTTGAAGCTTTGTCAATGTCTGTGCAATCTCGGAATCTGGACAGTCTTTTTGCGGAGGCAGTTTACACTCATTTTGTCAAATGAACTGAGGCAGCGCTTTGAGCAGTTGCCTTTGCCGCTTGGTGCTGCAGTAAGGCAGGGCTCAGGCATACCGCGTTCGATCCTTTTAGTTGGTCTTGTTGGACATCCCTTTCTCCGTTCGTTTTCTCCTTTTCCTTTCTTCAGTCACCCGAAAAGCAAGAAACTGATCAAAAGGGAGAGAAGTGGTCTCACATGTTTGACACAACTCTAATCTCCACGTGCCGCGAGTGTTCTTTACGTTGAGAACCAACCACGATTCGCCATCGATTCGCCGCCGTCGATGCCATTCGACTCGCTGGTATCGCCATGTATCACCGGGCCATAGGATGTGTCGTTCTTCTTATTACCATGCTTTCGCTGTGGTATTGAGCATTTCGATTTTCCCCGATTCCCCAAGTTCCGTGGGTAATCCACAGCGAAAGCTGTACAAGAAAGCTGCGCCTTGACTGGCTTTTCATCTGAGACAGACTGGTTGCATTTGTTGTCTTAGTGCTGAGCCGCAAACATTTTCATGAACAGTTGCAAGTGTCAGCGCTAGGCATTTGAGCCGCTGTCTGAGAGATGGTGGACATCATCGCAAAGCCGCTTGTATGCCAGACGGCTGGCGGATCTTGCGTCTGGTGGCTCAGTCGCTCCACGGGACCCGCAGGTCCAACCGTGGAGCGAGCCAACCGTATGGAGCTCTTGGTGGAGCGAGCCGTATGGAGCTCGGGTCCACAATCCCCCACAGGACAATCTTTACCGATGGGACTGGTGTTGCGTGTCGCTATGGGACTGGTCGAAGGGACTGACTGGGGCCTCAAGGTTTGGAAGTTCCTCTGGCAATTGCAGGTCCACAGGCTCTGGGTCAGGGTGCTGCATGCGCCCTTTCATTGCTTATACTCTGCTTGCATGAGGTTGACAGCTGACTCTTGGATAAAATCATGTTGCCAGACATTTGACTCATTTGATCATCAGTTCATCAAGTTGGCCAGAAGCTTCTTGGCCCAAAGGATGTTGGAACATTTGACCTTTGTCTAAGTCTAGGCTTGATTCAACTGAGGGGATGCGGCCTGTTGTGCGGGCTTTATGCCGTTTTTGGCAGGTGAAAGCACTGCTCGACTGGCTCACGCATCAGCGGCTCTTCCCACGGGCCTGACGGGGTTTGGGCTTTGGGGATTTCGTTCCGGCGTTTTTCAGCTTTCTCGAAAGAGATGTGGAGATGTGGAGATCTTTGAGAGGGTTGTTTCGGCCTTCCCAGAACACATCTCATGTTTCGGGTGAGGTCGAAGTTGGTCAGTTTTCACCTCACCTCACCCGGTGTGTTCTCAAGCGCTACTGGGTGGTTGCTATACTGCCTGTTCCAACCCACGACGCACCGGTGCCGTGAGCAGCGCCGAAGAAGCAGAAGACGAGTTGGTCCGGGGTTGAAAGGGGGGGTTCCAAAAACCACGGACTGGAGTCCTTTTTTGGGTGGCACGTTTTTGGAACCTGGCTTCTAAGCGAGTATCAGAGGAGGTTGCACCAACCAACTCCAGTATCCTACGCATCCAGCCACATATACCTGGCTGTTCGGGTCCACGCATTGCTCAGCTCCTTTTTTTGGGGTCGCATATCAGTACGCCACCGGTCCGGGTCCTCCGGCCTGGGAGATCGGTTCCAGGGCCGGACCGGTCCCTTTGGGTCAAGCCCCACTTTTCCTCTCAACGGGACTGGGAGAATGCAGCTGCACCAGGCTCTTTTTGCAGCTCGGGATGGATCACTTCTAGTGGCAGGGGTACGGAGGCCAAAGCGGACAGGGGGCCAGGCCTTCTTGAGCTCTCTCCAGTCCAGTTGGAATATTTTAAAGGAGGCTTCGAGAAGCTCTCGACTCCTATTTTTGGGCGGTGGGCGGTTTGTAGCATGTAGCTATGTACATTTTACTACAAGTGGTTTCCTGGTCAATTGTCCAAAGGCGCAGCCTTTGTCTCCTTTGCCACTTTGTTTGCAAAGATCCGAGGCGGGCGCTGCTCACGTCCACCGCACAGGCGGCACGTGCAGCACCCGCTGACACATGGGCATGGCATCAAGCGGCTTGGCATTCCGGACCAATGAAAGCCAATTTCCAGCACCCACGGATTCCGGGTGTCCATTTTTTTTGCCTCTGAAAAAGGGGTCAAGTCATGTCCAATTATACTACCCCCATAAGAATCCAATTTGATGTTTCATGCAGGGCATTTTTCGACCGATGAAGCGAAAGAACACCCCGCCACTGGGCGCGGCGGAGCACTGCTGTCTTGGGGCAGTCTGCCCCCTCGGCGGCGAAGCTAAGCAGTCGACTGTCTTGGGCTCGTTCTGACTCGCTCTGCACCTGTTTCGGCTCAAAATCTCAAGTGGGTCCATGACCGACTGGTGCACTTTAAAACTTTGAGTCCTGGTTGCAACAAGAGAACATGGTAGAAAAACAAGAGAACATGGTCGCATTTTCCATCCCTTTTTTTGCAATGTGACCATGTGTTTTTGGCCTTTTCCTGCTTGTTGGCACTCCTTGGCGCGCCTGAGGACCGACCACTCCGCTTACACTGTAAGCGGTGCCGAGGCGAGTGGCGCGGTTCGGATGAACGAGAAGTGACCGCTTCCACAGTCCGGCTGAGGGGACACACTGTGAGCATGAATTCCACGCTTCCAAGGAACACGAAAACGCGCTTGATCGTGCGAAAGAACGATCAAGAACGGTAGGCTCATTGTGGCTGGCTGCTGACACTTGTAGTCAGCTTGCCACTTTGGAACAATAAGGGCTTGCTTGGATCGGAATCCCCACACTGTTCTGGTCTCCAAACCTTGTGTGGTGTGGAAGATGTTGAAATGACTTCGCCCACCCGTAAGCACCGGGAGCCAGGGTACCATGATGATGCGAATCTCGCATTTCATGGTGCGGATCTGAGACGCATGCGACGCATGGTGCGGATCTGGCCCGAGGTCAGTTCGGTCCTTTCGGTCACCCGAGTCGGGATTGCCCTCAATCAGGCATGTTTGGAGGAGTTGAATGGCGACCTTCAATGGACGTTAAGCTTTCTTTGGCATTGTTTACAAGGGTCTGATTTCGAAGAGACATCCAAGTCAGTGAGGATCTTGTGTCATGACAACTCTAAGAGCCAAGCTGAAGAAGGAGTCTTCGCGAATTCTGGCCTTTCGTCTTTGAGGTGCTCTTCTCCATGCCTGCTTGGAGCCTGAGAAGAGAGGGCCGTGTCTTCATTGCTTTTGGACTGTGGGAGGGTTGATGCGAGTTGGTGGCGATCTGGAGTTGAGTTGCTTCACTTGTCCCAGTTGTGCACCTCGCTTCGCTCCATGTAGCAGTAGCATTCGGACGGTGGGGGGCCTGTAACACTGTTGCACCACTAGGGCCAGACGCTCGGCAGAAGGGCAGTGTTGGGATCCTTCGCAGCCATCGAAGCCATCGAAGCTAGATTCAGATGAAAAATGGGGCCCCAAACGGCGCCCCTCCGGCGACACGGCCCTGGAGCCCTCCTGGTTTCTGTGAGCCTCACCAAGGTGGCACTCGAGCCCGAAGCCACCACCTGTCCGCGCTCCCGGGACGACGGGGAAACCGCGCGTGGGCGACGGACACGGTCCAGCGTGGTGCGGTGGAGCCACGTGCCGAAGGGGGAGCGTTTCACCGGTGAAAGCCAAGCAGTGCTGGGTTGGAGTTTTTCGTAGACACCTCGATAGAAGCTTGTAGAGGCCCACTAATCATGCGTGCCACTATATTTGAGGGTATTCTCTGTAAGAGGAATCTGTTGGATCCAAGCTGAAAAGTTGCTGCCCAGTCAGACTGTGCCAGATCTGACTGCAGGGCGCCTGATTGTTCCCCCTGCACAAAACAAACACCGCCACGTCTTGCCCACAATCTCTGCAGCCACGGCGCGTTTCGGAGACCCCGCTTTCTTGGAGTGACTCGCATGACTTTCTGATTCCCGTCCCGTCCGACTTCGATCTGACTCCCAGGCTCAAGCCTCGTCCAGCGGGAGCAGAGCATGAGATCGAGGACGGTGGGGAGGGAGTGGAGGAGTGGAGGAGCAGGGGCATCGGTGGGCTTCTCAGCAGGGGTGGATCAACGTGATTGGACCCTCATGTGATTGGACCGGTGCGTTCTTCGTTGATTGGGGGGATTCCGTCCAACGATGGACCACGCGAATCACCCGGGCTCGGGCGCCGTAGCCGGCGGCTCGGGCGGAGCCAGGAGCTTGGGGTTTCGAGGCAAGGTCAGGTCACGGCAGTCTCGACTTGGTCACGGCACGGAGGAGGAAACACCAGATGGGCACTTCGATGTGGGTTCCGGTGCAACTACAGTATCACTCACGGACGTAGGTTCAGGTTGTTCAACCAGGTCTCTGACTCCAATTGGGTCCGAGATGCATCTTCCACTCGGACCGTCATCACCCTTTTCTGACCTCGTCCTGGGTTTTGCCCCCAGGACGAGTGACGCGTCAGGGGCCCAGTCGGACCCAGCCGGGCCCAACACAGATGGTTACAGTGGGTTCGACCCGATAAAAACCATGCAGAGTCCATGGGTTTTTTCTCATCAAAGCGACCCGGAACATCGGTTTTGGAGTCATTTAAAGACACCTTTAATAGAACAAGTCGGTCGGACATCACCTCATGACTGTGAGGTTTCTGTCAAGAATATCATGATGGTCTGTAGAGTGCGTGGAAAAGTCCAAAACATTCGCTCACGTTGGTTATATCTCATAAATGGATGATTTTGCAAGTATCACAGGCTTTTGGCTTTTGCTGGGCCAGGAACAGAGGGTCCGAAATCAGACCGAGCTTGCACACATGTCGACATGTACGAAAAGAATGCCAACCAAGCACTTTGCAAATAGAAAACAGATCCGTTTTCGAGTGCAGCGAGACATTTTCCACCAGAACGTCTTCGGGATGTCGTGCGACGTTCAGGTTGGAGACCGAGGCCCACGACAGACACGACGGGACGGGGTGGGTTTCGGTTTCACGGACGGTGCCATTCCTTCACGGACGGGACGAAGTGTTTGGATGAAACGAACTTCGGATTTTTGGTCTCCAAATGAACAGAACAATAATGACAAATATCGCGCACACACACACACACATACATGTGTATATACTGTATATACGTATAGTTCTGAACATTGCAGACGTTTTGGAACCAATAAGCCAGGGGCTGCACGTACTTCTGCCGGTTCAGAACTCCTCCATCCCTTGAAAGTCTGAGAGAGATTCAACGACTTTGATCCAAGGGTCATAGGTTCTGAGTTTCAGGGCTTTGTAGATCCAATACATCTCAAACTGGTGTGCTTCTAGTGATTTTCTTGTGAGCTCATTGATGAGCTCTCTGATGAGCTATCTGAGCAACACACCTTTGAAGCCCTTGATGACATAGCTTCCAATTTGGATTGCAGAGATCGCCGCAACCAGGTGCGGACCCACTCGTTTCTCTTGCAGAGCAAGCAGGTGCGATGCGCTCGACATCACAAAGGGGAAACGAAAGAGATGGCTGTGAGGAAGAGAGTTGATGGCTGGAAAGGAGATAGACAGGATTTTGGACATAGAGCAAGAAACGGGTTCCAGTACATGTGGAGTTCGTAGACATCCACCTGACATTTACCTCATTTTTCAGACCCTTTCAACAGAAAAACATGGGGTTCCCCACCTTGAGACAAGCACGAAATCACCATCATCTTTGCGCCAGATGCTATCTAGTTGGATGTCCTCTGCGGCTCTTGCACTTCTAGGCCTTGGAGACGGGACGTATCATGGAGGGCGTGTCCTTTGGACACGGAGAGTTGCCAGGAGTCAAGCTGGTTGCATGGCTCCAGTTCTCATTACCGTAGTGACGCTGAGGATGAAGCGAGCATTTGAACCGTCAGCTGAGTCCAAGACGGACCTGCCGACGTCCATCGGGTGGTGAAAGTCCGTCGACCTTCGCAGTGGGAGGCCAAAAGCCTCAGTCCAAGGGAAGCGGGATTATGTTCCTGATTTCGGTCCGGAGCCTTGTTTTCTATCATGTGCTCTTTTTGAGTCACTCATGGTTTTAGTAGAACACAGTTGAAGTTTTCTCACAGGGTTCCAAACAACTGATTGCTTGGAGCCAACTACTGTAGAGTGTATTGCTCTTTGGGCTGGATTATCTGCTTTGGCAGTTGCAGTTATGCTGCAGTTCCATGCCTTTTGCGAGGTCATATTGACTGGAGTCCTTCTGGTTGGTGGCTGCATCCTGCTAGCTCGAGTGGGGCATCCCAGGCAGTGGTCTGCAGGGCGGGTTGCTCAGCGTTGCTGGAGATGGGGAGACAACCTCACGACGGGCGTTTCATCGACGATCTGCCTGCCGGGATTGGATCCTGGTGTGTTTGATGCAGGGAACTGGTCGGAGGAAATCACCGGTGAACATGCAACACTCTCTTCAGGTTCCTTGAGCTGTCGACAGCTCTCCTTTAGTTGGGAAGAACATGTTTGGGGTCTCGCAGCTGCAGATGGAGGTCAAGAGCTTGCGGAAAGGTTCTTGTTTCAGGGAAGTCGGCTGCGATGGGCACTGCAAAATTGCGACATGACCCAGAATGAGAGGTGAACGCATGCACCAACACCTTTAGAAGTGCATCGTGTTGCTTTACTTTGACTTTGACTTCGAAGAAACTCCAGCTGTAGAAGTGTGGAGCTTTCTGAAAGGTTTTTCCACCTGTAATTCATGTGTCCTGAGCTTGTCCTGTTCAGCAGGCCTCTAGGCTTGCCCAGGAAGGTTCAAACCCGAACCGATGCCTTCCGTTCTCCCTGAGGTGCACAAATCCTGGCAGCAGGGACTCGTCACGGTCCCCCAGCCCGCCGTCGGTTTGGTGCGGTTGGGCCGGACGACCTGGTCGTGTCGAGGGACGGACGCTTCGGCTGCGGCGGGGCGGGGTTCGTTCGGCACGTGCTCTCAGGCTGGAAGGGAAGCAGAAGCCAAAAGCACTTTCATCCAGGCGAACGGAGGGGACGCGGCACACCGCCGTCAGCACGCGGAAAACGGCCCATACTC